GTGTGTGTTCTCTGTGTGTGTGTGTGTGTATTACCCATGTGTGTGTATTACCCGTGTGTGTGTTCTGTGTGTGTGTGTTCTCTGTGTGTGTGTATCACCCGTGGGAGTGTGGGTGTGTTCTGTGTGTGTGTGTGTGTTGCCCATATGTGGGTTTGTGTTCTCTGTGTGTGTCTAGGAGAACTTCTTGCACACGGATCTTTCGTGCTTTGCCATCGTGTACAGTTTTGCTGTTACCACGAGCGTGCCGGAACAGGGCAACTTTGAAGCTGCATTTTCTCAGCTGCCCAGGCGGAGAGCACAGCCACCTGACCGCTCTTTATTTCCAAAACAGGAATGCACAGGGTGAAGCAGGGAGCCGGAGCTGAGAGGCCAAAAGCACATTATTCTCAAGCTCAATAGGATTTGTAATTAAAACCAATACACCTTTCGTCCCTGCGCCATACCCCTCCTGGCCAAACTGCATCCCCTCCCCGTTCTGTCAGAGCGTGCCGCTTCCGCGGGGTCATTGAAATGCAGGCCCACGACCATCAGGGGCTTCTGTCACTCATCTCTGAATGCAGCTGTCACGCTATCCTGACCTTAGCCTCAAAGCAGTCAGTCCCGCTGGCCTGGCATTTTGAAAAGCTGTGGCTACTAAAAATGACAGAAGCGTGCCCGATTAGTGGAGGTTATGACTGCCCGTACCCAGCAGAGTTGTGACCGCTAGTTGTGACAGGCACTCTTCAGCTGTGGATCTCAATGAACGGGGAGTAACTTTGTTCCCATTGTACAGCTGAGGAAACTGATTTTCCTAAGATCAGGAGCAGCAGAACCAGGGCTAGACACCTGCCCTCCCTGCAGCCCTGTCAAGCTCTTGATGTTGCTTACAAACGATCAAAGGCCTGGATCTGAACTCATAGCTGTGGCTTTTATACGGATGCAATGCCATTGACTTGAGTGGAGGTCTTGATTTACACCGGTGTACGTGAGTGGGAATCAAAGACCTTTATTTCCTCCAGCGTCATTCCCCAGCAGGGGCCGGAGTCTGATCTCAGGCCAGCGTAAATCCAGAATGACTCCCTGGGAATCAGCGGGATTATAACAGTGTAACAGATCAGAATATGGCCCAGTTTGGACGCACAATCCAATTAAGATGTGACCGACAGGCCCGTGACCAAATTCATCCCTGGTACAATCCCACTGAAGTTACATCAGGCATGAATTTGGTCCACTCCATAGGAGAAAGCGCTGGCCGATCTTCCCAGCCGCCCCATTGCTCTATGCTTTTCCCTTTTGTTGTCAGTGTACTTTAAAGACTCAAGCCCAGGTCCCTGCTATTACGTGGACCCGCAACTCACTCGCTTTGGCAGGAGCGGAGGCCCGTCCTATTCCATGCTGGCGAGAGCAAAGACCCTGGGTGAGTGGAAGAGCATCAAAAGCCTCCATTGGGCTAGGAGTTGGTGGGGAGCACACGGGTGGCTGGTTTGGTCGCGTCAGCAGCTCTTTGGGTTGCTTTTAAATTGAATGTAGTGCTGGTTCGGCAGCCCCGGGCCTCTCTTTATCCTCAGGGCAAGCCACTCCTCCGCCATTGTTCCTCGCTCCGGCCTGGCGGGAGCCCCCTAAGGGTGAGAATGGCCCATCCAGCCCTGGGCTGAGGCTGTTTCCAGGGGCGAATCAGTGCCAACTCGGGTCGGCTTGGTGCAGCAGACACCATGGGTCAGGTTTTTGGTGCAGCAGAGGATGGCCTGTGACGGCCAGTTCATTCAGTTGCCTGCCCTGATAGGAGCGGGCATTCCTGCCCCACCAGGGCTGGATCAGAAGTGGCTATGCAGAGCTGAAAGGCCTCTCCTGGTGCAACAGGAACTGGCCCCCAGTGGAGGCAGGAGACCAGACGACTAGCGCGCTCTGGCCTGGGAAATCCTAGACTCCACACCGGCAGCAAGCCACATCCAGCGTTATCGGGGTGACATGACGTGGCGCTGGGCACGAGCTCCCGTTCCTGACTGTGCCCAGCTTTAGCGTTTAACGCTGTGTCTCCTTCAGCGCAGCCACGGACCCCTGGGCCAGGCAGGTACAGTCCAGAGAAAGCCCCACCTGTCACCCAGCGCAGGCCGCCATCTTTCACCATGGGATCTCGTACCAAGTACCGGCGGGTGGATCCCGTCCCTGCCCCGAACAGCTACACTCTCCCCTCGCTGCTGGGCTCCGGGGTCCCCAGCAAACCGTCCAGCCCTAGTGTCACCATCTCAGGGCGGAACAAACATGGTGGCTTTTCTGAGGACTTGTCCCAAACGCCCGGCCCCGGCCATTACAACAGGACAGATCCCAACACCTACTTGCACCGGGCACCTGCCTTCTCCATTCGGGGGCGATGCAGTGCGCCCGGGGCAGCCTTCCGGACACCGGGGCCTGGAACGCACAGCCCCGGAAAGGTGACCGCCCACAGGACAAGAGCCCCAGCCTACTCCCTGGGTGTCCGGCACTCCGAATTTGTCACGCCTCTCATTGTGGATGTTTCCCAGTGGGGCAGCAGTTCCCTGGCGTCAGATCACTGGCCTTGATTTACCTTCCCTGCCTCGATCTACTGGATCCCCAGTGACTCAGACTGGAAGCTCTTCGCTTTGCCTCCAGCCCATTCATGCCACGCAGTCCTGGGAGAGCTTCCAAGCAGCGGATGCGCCAGCACTTGAGACATTTGAAACTGGGCCAGTCCAAACCCTGTGGAGCTGTAGGGAACAACCCTGCACTGCTCTGCAGCGGGAGGAGTTTTCCTAGGGTTGCCAACCTTCCAGGATTGGCCTGGAATCTCCAGGAATTAAAGATTAATCTTGAATTAACGATTATGTCCTCATGTGATGAAATCTCCAGGAATACAACCAACCAAATTTGGCAACCCTAAGTTTTCCGCCTCAGTGATGCTTTGATTCTCTAACAGCCTCCACGAACTGGGTTCTGATCTTCCCACTTGGAGGCCCAAAGTTTCTTTACTAAACAGGTCAACAAAGAAGGATTTCAAAGACTGTGTTTGTATGCAGTGTAGACCTGACGCAGAGCTCTGGGTGGCTCGTAAGCTTGTCTCTCTCACCAACAGAGGACGGTCCAATAAATGATATTACCTCCCCCACCTTATCTCTCTCAAGATATTTTCAGGGCAGGCAGGGGAGAGGGAGAGGGGGAAAGGAAAGAGGTGCCGCTTTCTAACCCCTTCCCTGGCATTCCTCCGGGTTCGATTGTCACATTTACTTTTCCCTATTACTGCTGTTGCTTTTTGCTCTTCTCCCGCCAAAGGCAGTGAAAGTAGGCTGGTTAGTTTCACTTGCAGTATCTAGTCAGTTCCCTTTCAGGTTCTAAGGCAGTACCAGGCCTTTGCGTTCGGGTTTACAGCCCTGCAGGGGGGACCTTTGCAATCCACCCCCTGGGCCCTGATGAATGGAATTATTTCTGTTGCAATAGGTTTTTAACCCCACCTTTCCCCTGTGTATTTTTAACAACGTTTGGGCCTGAGCTATTCACGAGCATAATTTATAACGTACAAAAAAGTTTCCAAGGGTGACAGAGGTTCTTCAGGTTCAGAATAAATGTACTAACCTACGAAAGCCAAGATGTTGAAATTCTGCCTCCCCTCCCACGCCCTAGGTTTCTTGACCTTTCTGCACTAAACCACACCACCCTGCTAGCCCTCACACAGAGCTGTCAAGTGTCAACACCACTGGCGTAGGCGCCTCCTTCCCTGTTCCTTCCTGCTCAGCCACTGACACCCCGTGAAGGACCGCAGTACAGACCTTTCACTGGTATCAAGGGATATAGCCTGAGTTATACGGATGTAAATCGGTAGAGGATCCACCTCGCTGGATGGGAAGGGGAGGAGGGGAAGACAACATGACTAGCCATCTTGATAGTGTCCCTAGAGAACTTGGTCCCTGGCCCCAGACACCGGTTCTGTCCTGTGCTAGGAGGCGGGGCTGTATGAATTTGGGAGGCAGGTGTGATGGGGGTTATAAGTTACGTGGCAGGGTCAGGCAAGATGGCTACAGGAGAGTGATAGAAGAAGATATATTAGCCCCAGGTTAAGTAGGTCCTCTTTCCTTGGGTAAGGTAACAGGGAAGGTTCCAGAACAATCAGGAGCTTTCTGGAAACAATTAAGGCAGACAGGCTGATTAGAACACCTGCAGCCAATCAAGAAGCTGCTAGAATCAATTAAGGCAGGCTAATCAGGGCACCTGGGTTTAAAAAGGAGCTCACTTCAGTTTGTGGTGTGTGTGTGAGGAGCTGGGAGCAAGAGGTGCAAGGAGCTGAGAGCGAGAGGGTGCGCTGCTGGAGGACTGAGGAGTACAAGTGTTAACAGACATCAGGAGGAAGGTCCTGTGGTGAGAATAAAGAAAGTGTTTGGAGGAGGCCATGGGGAAGTAGCCCAGGGAATTGTAGCTGTCATGTAGCTGTTCCAGAAGGCACTCTAGACAGCTGCAGTCCACAGGGCCCTGGGCTGGAACCCGGAGTAGAGGGCGGGCCCGGGTTCCCCCCAAACCTCCCAACTCCTGATCCAACACAGGAAGATCTCTGAGGCTAGCAAAATCTGCTAATAAGCGCAGGACCCACCAAGGTAGAGGAGGAACTTTGTCACACTTACCAGCAGATCCCATGTGGCAAACGGTTCCAGTTCCTTCTGCGCAGGAGGGGATGGATGGGCTCCCGCCGCATGTGTGAAAGATCTTCCACCTACCTTCAGAGACGGGCTGGGTATCTGCTGTGCGAAGCAGTACCCCAAGTCGCCTTTATCCTCAAGGTCTGAGTGATCAGGCTGCCTTGCACTGGGTTATTCCCTGACACCACTGATGCTCCTCGCCATTTTAACTCCCATGTAACATAACAGAGACATCTCCTTATGCCCTGTTGGTTGCTGCAGGGGATACACCCTCTATCCTCCCACTGATGTCTGCCTTTGTGCTGCGAGACCAAGGGTGAGCGTCTCCTGGGCACGAGTACCCACAGCCTCAGCTGGGATCAATTGACATAGTTCCAAGGACACTGCCAAGGCTGGTGGACCTGCTAACACATCAACGCAGCTGTGCCAAGTGGAGCTAGTCCTACTTGGGGAGTCTTCTGTATGGGAAAGTCCTAGAGACCTGATCCGGGAGGGATAATCTTCCTATAAAATAGCTGTAAAAGTGTTCGGTGCCCAAGTGCCGTACACTAAGTGGGTATTCAGGGTTACTTGTTTGTATGTGCAAGGCATAGCACATCAGGGCCATGAGGTGGTACTGGTAGATTAATAACAATAATAATGCCACATTCTAGAGATGTCTCACATTCTCTGCGTGAAGAGTCAAACCCAAAGCCTGGGTCTGATTCTCCCCTGCTTTGGACCATGTGTCACCTGTGTAAAACCAGGCGTGGACTAGCCCCAGGTCTACCAACCTCAGTGAACCTGGCCCAGGTTTCAGATCTATGAATGTAAGAGACAGGCAGGCTTTGCCTGAAAATGCCCTATCCCATAGCTGGCGTTGATCCTACTGGGAAAGGGTGAAGTGGGCTGTGCTGATTGGCCGAGGCAGGCGGTTTGTTCCCCCACCTGGAAACGGGAGGTGGGAGTGGCGCTCTGGGGAGAGAGGATCTAGGGTGTGGGCTGAGCAGTGCAGCGGGAGGAGCAGCC